TGAAGAGTCGGACACGACTTAACGACTGAACAACAACAAAAAAGACCGCCCAAAAGAAGTCAGCATGTGCTTTGCTGATTATACAAAGACCTTCCATTGTGTCAACCATATCAAGCTGTGGCATGTTTTTAGGAAAATAGGAATCCCAGAACATCTTTTTTTAATTAGAAGTTTTTAATCTAATAAAACACACAAAACAAACCAGATAGAAAATAAGAGATAGAGAAAAAAGAAATTGAAAACAAAAAAACCAAAAACATACAATTGTGCTTTCCACCCTTCTTTCTATCAAGTAATCGTCATCTTAAACTTTTTCCCAACCTCTTAGTTTTAGGAATCCCAGAACATTTCATTGCCCTCATGCAAAACCTATACGCAAGTCAGGAAGCCACAGTACGGACAGAACATGGCAAAACAGACTGGCTGCACATCAACAAAGAAGTGAGACAAGGCTGTTTACTCTCCCCTTATTTAGTCACCCTTCATGCCTATGATAGGATCCCAATTAAGTTAAGGTACAAACCACAGACCAGGAGGCTGAATACTTTTCCTTTGATATGTACACAAGGTTGTTTATTATACCAAATACACAGTTCTAATGTGTGTGGTGGATTGCAGAAGAGAGCAAGGTTCTCAGGAAGGAGGGGACACATTCCAAGAAGGGCAGAGAGACAAGAGACAACCCAGTCCGGAGCTGGAGCGTGGGAAGTATAAGAGGTTTAGAATAGCCACTCCCTAGAATCTCCCAGAGTATATCTACTAGTTGTAGCAGTAGAGATTTGTCTAGCAAGATTTTGTCTTTATGGTGCAAGCAATAAAGGAACTGAACTCAGTTGGACTGTTTCCCTGTTGTTCTTGGGCTGGGCCTGACAGTATGTTAAACCTAATACATACAACTAATCTACTTTCAGTTCCTATTAATATATTTATAAGTGATAATGTTATATCTATAAGTGATAATCTTTAACAAAATTACAAATTTCCATTTTACCCTGTGTTCTTAATTACCCATCTTTTCTAGCACTAAAGGCAGTAATACCACAGTTCTTTCCTAGTCTTCACCTTTAAAGACTGGGAATTCTGTTCCTTTTACTCAGGGCTTAACATCCTTTCACCTTACACTTAGCCCTATATTATCTTCCACTGTCAGCAGTAAGTCCTGCTGAAGTTTAGCCTTGTCTGTGTTTCCTTTTACTGAGTTGCTTCTCTGTCTCTCAGTCCTCATCAGTTTGTAGGAGGGAGAAAACAATTACTTGTTGCTGGCTGACTGTAGCTGATTCTGCATTTTTGGAAGGCTTACGAGTCTGTAAGGCTCTGCTACTCCTTTCACAGCTGGAGTAGCTTCAGAGTCATGTTACTCACTCCATCAACTGTTTTAGTTTCACCTCCTCCCCACACAACTGGCTTCTTTAGTTCTCCAGCACAATCACCTTTCTCTCTTCCACCCACACCCAGCACCTTTTATTTCTCTTTTCTCCCTGCAGTATAGGTGTGGTCCTTTGCTCTCTTAAAGTCCCAAGGAACACAAACCATAAGGAAGGAAAGCTCATATCCACAGCCTTGAGTCTTTCCTTCCACATATATATATAATGAAAGAAGCTAGATTAGAAGACGATGAGTCTGTTTTTAAAATTGGAAGAAGAAACATCAGTAACCTGCTGTTACTGTTACAATACACACGTACACATACACATATTTTAGATATGTCAATTTCTAGTTTCCCCCAATAAATTATTCCCCTTAATTCACAGAAAGATGTATGTTGAAAAGGACAATTTCCAATATGAAGACAGTACATTAGTGAGAAGTAGCTATGGAGTTACTTATTATAGGAGAATTACAAAGAGTTTCATCTATACCTCCAGACCTTTTTTTCCAAAGTACATCAGCTGGGCTTCTAGACCATTTACTCTTTGCTTAGACTTGGAATCTTGATTATGAATAAATGATAATCCAGGCTTTTCACTAGAGATCACATGTACTTACATATGATATTATCAGCAAGAGATGACTACAGGAGACCTCAACAAGCCCTATTTCTTGAATGTGATTCTTGGATTGAGGCAAAGAGACAGTGGGGAAAACTACACAGAGTATCTGTAGCCGGTCCCAGCTTCCCCTTCTTATTCTTTAGAAGTCTAAAGCGCTGTTTCGATAGGAATCCATGAGGTGCTTTATTGGTGTTGTTGTTTTTGTTTATAAATGTGATTTCTAAAGCAGCTTTCCATCCATTACATATCCCTTCTGGAAGGTTTTCGATCAGGATGGAAACCTATGACCTTTCAGATGTTGCTGAACTACAGTTCCAAGCACTCTCAAGGCCAATACTGAGATGTTTGGAACTGTACTTTAGTTCTCCAATCCTGTTCTAGATTGCTTAAGGAGGCTTCAAGGTCTCATTACCAGTGTTTGGTTTTCTTCTGAAGAAAGTTAAGTTCAGTGAATTGTTTAAATATCATCATCCCATACAGCCTAAAAAAGTTGCTCTTTATTAATTGGCAATGAATTAATGAGCAGCATTTGAATCAAACTTAGCAATTTAGTGAAGCTAGCTGGCACACACCAAGGAAAGAGTGTACTTACATCTCATTCACTTTATCTTCTGGACCTTGCACTTGTCCAGTAACCGTCCCTTGTCTGGTATTTTTAACCCAGCCAACTACACCTGCTTTCCTAGCTTTATCCTCTGTGTACTGGTTTGGAAAACAAACAAACAGAAGAAGAAATATTCAGCATGCATTTAGTACTCAAAACTGTGATAAAACAGTTCAATCTCAAAACTTCAGTTTTATTCAGTATGATTTGCTTCTTAATGGCCCAGCTTTTCTGTAAATATTCTGTAAATATGTGTAGGGTGGTCTAAAAATTATATTCAGAGCATCTTCCAAAAATAAGAGACATGAGAATGTTAAAGAGTCACACAGGTGTTTGAACAACTTAAAAGGAGAGAATCAATAGATTGAAATCAATTTAACAGCAACAACATTAATTCAACTTCAAAATAAAATAAAATAAAATAGCATTAAGTAGGTATCAGACTTCCCTCCTAATGATCTGGACTGAAAGTTTTTTACACAAAGAACAAGTCTCTCAGAGTTCTGATTAGTAATACTTATTTAGAAGAAGGGGTAAGCTTACAGTACAAGAATTCCAGGGTGTACTTTATCTTCCATGAGAAACCTACATATAAGCATTTTGATGTGGCAATTCTGTGTGTTCTTTGTTGGGTTAATTAGTTATTTATTTAATGAATTTGTAAGGCTGGCCAACTAAAAAGAAAATGACTCTGGGCAGTGTATAACAAAAGTAAACAACGAAAACACCATACATTAAAAAATCACCCAGGATATAAAATACAGAACATAAAATGGCAACCAAATGCAATAACTGAACAACCAAACAGAGACTCCACTCAGTTGGATACAAATGCATGGAGAAAAACCCAGGTCTTCATGGCTTTTCTAAAGGCGTGCAGAGTTGGGGCCTGTCATATATCTTCCTAGGTCCCATAAGACAGCAATGTTTAAATGAAGGCACTTTGAATATGTCCTTCCTGTGGGAACATGTGGACAAATATCCTTGGCAGAAAGCAGTCCCACAAGTAGCCTGGTCCTATGCCATGTAGGGCTTTAAAGGTGATAATCAGCACCTTGAATCACATCTGGAACTCTTCTGGAAGCCAATGTAGATTGTGGAGTAGTGGTGTCACACGGGTGTAATGACCTGTACCCATAACTATCCATGCTGCTGCATTCTGGACAAACTAAAGCTTCCAGATGGTCTTCAAGGACAGCCTCATGTAGACTTCACTGCAATCATTCAGTCAGGAGGTGATTAAGGCATAAGTGATCCTGAGCAAGGCCTCCTAGTCCAGGAACAGGTGCAACTGGCACCCAAAATTCAGTTGTGCAAAGGTCCCTCTGGCCACAGCTGCCATCTGCTCTCTAAGCAGGAGCTGAGAGCCCAGGAGGACCCTCAGCGTGCACACCAAGAACTAATGATAGAAACACTCTGGTTCCTGGATCTGGGGGACCTAAAACCTATACCTACACCATCTTTGCAGGGTTAAGTGTCAACCTGTTCTTCCCCATCCAGACCCTTGTAGCTTCCAGACACTAGGACAGAACCTCAACAGCTTCACTTGGATGGCTGGGGACAGAAATGTACAATGGTGTATCATTAGTGTACTGTTGATACTTCACTCTGTATCAATGGAGGACCTTGCCCAGTGGCTTCATGTATATATTAAAAAAGAGGCAGGAGAAGGTAGAGCCCTGAGCACCAGTATGGATCCATTTTATTCTACTTTGGTCATCACACTTTACAAAAGATTCAGGCAAATTAGAACAGGTTCAGAGAAGGCCAATGAACTTGATCAAGGGACTGGAAACTAAATCCTTTGGAGAGAGATTGAAGGAGCTGAATACTCTTGAGAAAAAATGACTAAGGTAAATATGATAGCATTCTTCACATATCTGAAAGGCTGTCACACAAAAGAAGTTCAATATCTGTTTTCTTTCATTCCATAGTGCAAGAGCCAGAATACTGGATTTTAAGTTAGAGGAAGTAGATTGCAATTAAATGTTATAAAATCATCCTATTGGTAAAAGCAGTTAAACAGAGGAACCAATTACTCAGAAAGATTAGAGGTTTTCTTTCAATGGATATGTTCAGGCAGAAGCTTGACAGTAATCTTTCTGGGATGTTTTAATCTGGATTCCTACACTGGTAGGGGTTGGATTCAGTGATCTAAATGGCCCCTTCCAATTCTATAATCTAGGCTAAATATTCTTCTCCAAAATGTGCTTTTGAAAGAGAAAGAGACATACACGTTTTAATTTGGTGTTTGGTACTTATTCAAAAGTATTTAATGATGAGAAGCGTATACTCTTATTTTTCATACTTGAAGTTTGTAAGAAGTTATGTATATCCCACATGGAAGGCTTTTACGAATTAATTATGTTCATCAATTATATTTGCTGAATTAATTACTTTGGATTGCAAAGAGCACAGCACATACAATGGCACCCAACAAGAACATTGCCAAATACGTTATTTTACCTAGAACCGCTTGCTACCCTTGCATTTCTCCACATCTTTCTCATAATAATTAAGACTAAATCTATGCATGCAGCAGACAGTGTGGTAGCATGCTGAAACAGAAAGCTGGCCAGTAGCATACAGAATTACAAACACTATTACATGCTGAGGATACTGCCTTAAATGGCAGGAGAAAAATTCGAAGACAAAATTGACTTATAAGGAGCACAACACCAGAACATGCAAACACAGTCTGGATCAGGCCTCTTAAAATCCTCCATCAGGCTACTGTACAGTAAATTCCTTCTTCTCTCACCAATCCTTATGCTCCATCCCTTTATATTCCCTGCTGTTGTTTGAAAGAAAAGTATAATGCCTAGAATCCAGTCTGTATTAGGAAAGTATTTGGGTATATTCCCACATTTTCAGAGATTTGTTTCCTTGATCACCTGTCATCAGTTTTTTATGGAACTTTGCTGCCTCCGTGTGTGTGAAAACTCATTTTTATTTTGGCCTAGTATGACAAGATATGATCACCCGAATGCAGTTTTAGAAAAAAGAGAAGCGACATTTAGCGAATGGGGCATGTGTTATAAGGGTGAATTTGATGTTGTATTCTATTTCTCTGCTGCTTTTTAAAAATAAAAATATAAAGTAATTTTGGGTATGTGTTAATGCAACTGAAGAGGCAATTGAAGTGAAAATACAAAGCAATATAAATGAAAACTGAGGAAATGTACCCATAACCTATTTATAGGGTTTACTGCATATTTGGGAATAGTATACCCAGATACTGTAGGTGTGAGTCCTCTCCCTTCCCCCCACTAGCATATCAACATGGGAAGGGGGGAGGGAGGGAAAGGGAAAATAAATAGAAAATCTCATTAGCTGCTGATTTTACCAGTTATCTAGAATATAAAGAAATGACCAGAAAGGGCTTTATACAAATTTCTGCAGAAAACCTGAAGCAAATAACAAAAAAACTACCATATAGGAATGAATACATAGCCCAGCCGCATCTGATTTGAAACATCAAATTTCAAAAAACAGTTTGCGTGTAGCACAGCACAGATAACCACTATACAGTAAACACAGGTCTAGTTTAGGGCATCAAGAATATGACAAGACTTTTGCTACTACGCTCTGTTTTCTCTAGATACACTGTCTTAATCAAAAGTCTCCAATGAACCACAGCACATAAACTCTGCAAATACTGTTATAAAATTTAGGATCTGAACTATGGTTTGTAGTTGCTTTAAGATCCTGGTTTCTTCTGAGCCTGGTGCTTACAATTTCCAAGATAAAACATAAGGGATGCTTCTATGGCAGGAGAGAGGAAAATCATACACTGAACAAATATTCATCTGAATTTATTTTTTTTTTAAGTGAGAACCAAGTAACTGCGTAATTTGCACTATGTGCCCAAAACAATTTGGACTAAGTCCATTCAGATGGTTATATTGCATTTTACTCATAAAGTTCTGAAATTACTTTTTTATTTGAAAGAATTAGTTATCTTTTTTGCAGCCAAATCCTGCAGGCTTTTCAGAAACAGAAACTGTACCTCATCACATTCCTGTTGATCTTCTCGCCACTGCAAAGCCATTTCTAATGCACTATAGGCTTTAGAGTGTGAGGGTCCAGGAATAGCAACAGTGTTACAAATATTTTCAGCATCAAAGTTCTCATTTTTGAAATCTGTGAATTTCTGTTTCAAGCACTGAGTACCGGGCTTTTTTGCACATTTCATTGTTTTCGGTTTCTTTTTGCCATTTTCACTGCTCATTGCTGAGAAATAATGCAAAAGGATGTCTTTGTTTCTCTTCAGTTGTGAAACTGGGGATGTCCCAATTCCAAACTCCTCTGCTAACACTGTCGCAATTTCACCTTTTTCCAACCTTTCAACAACCTTTATTTTGCTTTGGAAAGTGAACACAGTCCATTTACGTTTCTCAGTCATTGTGAAAAATGGGCTCTTGCTCATCTGTAATCCTTCCATGTTGCACAATCTTAAGTATAGGTAATGGGAAATGCAAGATTCCTGTGTAAGTCCGTGTGACCTTTGTATAGCACTTACATTCATACGCACGTACCTCTTTTCTTTTCTCACGTGGCTGAATATATATTACGTTACTTATACAACTAATGTTCATAAAATCAGGGTTCTACTGCAAAAGGGTTTCCATTAAAGCATACTCTACAGTCATATGATACTTAACTGTCCAGATTAACTGAGAAAACTTGGCATTGCAGATTCCTGAAGTCTCTGCACAGGCTTTCTATTTTTACTCTCAAAAATGTTATAGAGAAGTGATGCAAAAATGATGTACTTCGTGTTGCCTTACCATTCTGAAACAAACCCCTGGGAAAGAAGAATACAAAGAAAATAAAACAATAAATACTTGCTCAAACTAGTGGAGCAACATTTCATTTGCATTTATGAAACATGCTAGAGGCATTATATCAACTGCCAGAAGACGGCCAGACAATTTTTATTTTGATAGAAGGTTTTGTAAATTGAAAAGTGATGAAGAGTAACACCTGTTGGGAAACAAAGATAACCGATAAAGCAGCTGGTGGAGCAAGTGAGATCCAGATGAGCAACTGAATTCAGTGGATGATGGCTCAACTGGGCTCTCTGTTAATAGTTACACATCCGGGTTATGGAGCAGCATTTGGGGCTAAGTGTAATATTGGAAAATTTCTCACTATGATATTCAGTTGTTTTTGCTAAAATTGTTCTGTACTGCTTTACTCGCTTCTTTCTTTTGGGATCATACAACAAAACAAAACATATAAAAAAGCTTATCATCTGTGTTTTTATTATGCTACTTGGCTGCTCCTCTATTGATTTTACTCAGCTATGATACAGGGTAGGAAAGGAATAATAAAATAATAAATTGAATTAACTTTCATTTATGTAAATATGTTTAAGATCAAGTTTTCCAACTTATATAATTACAACTCACAAATTGAATAACTATAATGTTAATTTAGCAATTAATGAAATTGTAGTATAATTGTTTTTATGTCATATAGATAGAAAATGTTTAAATCAGAACTATTACATAGATTACATATGATGATGATACAGATATAGATATAGATATATTGCACTACAGCTGCTGTAATCTTGGAGATGCTTGGCTACACAATCAAGAAGAATAGCAGTACATACTCTCCCTGGAAAGTGAGTTTGGAGGCTAAGATCAAGGCAACTTGGAGAGAAGTTAGTAAGCTAGTGAAACTACAGACGAGATTAAGGATAAGACTTGATGGGTCTGACTCCATCTGAAGCCCTAGAGACTGCTAAACAAAGGCTCACAGCACTGGCTACCAGGCTAAGGAGATACACTAGATACACTAGAGAAGCAGAGGCCAAGAAGATAAATGCCCTGTTCTCCAAAGAACCATCCAAAGTGTACTCCCAACTATAGTGCAACCACACAGTAGCAGCAGAACCACCATCAGCTGAAACTGAACAGTACTGGAAGAACACATGGGAGAAAGAGAAGACACATATCATCAGTGCAAAGTGGCTGCAGGACCTGAGAGCAAACCACAGCAATCTCCCAGAACAGGAACCAGTCACCATCACAGTAGCAGACATCCAACAGCAGATCAAGAACATGAAAAGCTGGACAGCACCTGGCCCAGACATGATCCACCTACTAGCAAAAGAAACTAACAGCAGTGCATAAATGCCTAGTGGCACAGATGAACAAGCTGCTATCAGCAGGCTCCCACCCAAACTGGCTAACACAAGGAAGGACAGTGCTGATCATGAAAGACTCTCACAAGGGGATAGCACCATCCAACTACCAGCCAATAACCTGCCTTCCCACAACATGGAAAGTCTTATCAAGTATCATAGCTGCCAAACTACAGGACCATACAGGCCAGTACATGAGCCCAGCTCAGAAGGGCACTGGGAACAACACCAGAGGCTCAAAACATCTGCTGCCCATAGATAGAGCAGTCACCTGAGACTCAAGGTCTAGACAAACCAATCTGAGCACAGCCTGGATTGACTACAGAAAAACCTATGACTCAGTGATACACACATGGATCTGTGAATGCCTGGCACTATACAAAGTCAACAGGACACTAAGGACCTTCCTCAAGAACTCAATGGGACTGTGGAAGACA